CTATTCGATATTTCGCCTTGCTGTAATTTCTCGAAGCTAGAGATAGAACGGTTCATAAGCAAAATTATCTCCAAATGCAACATACGATGCTCTTTTAGCGTCATCTATATTACTAATGCTTTGCCGAAATATTGCTGCTATCGACTGTAACTGCTGACTGACTCTTTGTGTCAATTTTCGACGTTCTTGATGATAATGAGGCCACATTTTAAGAAAAATTTGAGTTCAGGTAGTTTCTACACTAATGTTGAACTCGTTCTGTATTAACGCAAAATATGTTTCAGCATGTATATTTACCGCTGCTCCATTCATGTGTCTTTCTCTGCTTTGCGCTGCTGCCACATTTCGAAATATTTATTCTTTGCGCTTTCCTGGTCAGCAATGTTGCAGGCCCTTATTTCAGATTACGAAGGCGCAAATTTCAGTTTGACAAGTTTGCACCTTGTGCCTAGCTGAATGTATCAACAAACAGACGTTGAAGGCTAGCATGTGAGATGAGTAAGCAGTAAACAGCAAATGACTCAGTTTAACATTGTCAGCAGTAACGGTCTCTAAGCTGCGTCTGTTGATCCAGTTCATTAAAATTGAAAGTTGGAATAAGCACTGCGCGTATTAGCGGCAAAGGCCAACAACTCCCTTGAAAGGCATTGACTTCTCCCTGCTAATTCAGTACAGATTGCAGAAGAGTAGAATAAGGATCTGATGGCCAATATTCCTGAAAAAATATCGACGCTTCATGAAACATATATAATGTTCTTCGTTTAACCCTAGCAATTTCGCACATCGCAAAAATTTGATGAACTGAGGGAATTCGGTAGGAACAAATGACACATTGCTATCGTTGTTTCACTATGATCATTCTTACATAATGCTATGTCGATCTGCTTTATCTGCTCTTTTGAATTTTCGTTGCTTCGTTTAGTTGAATGGAATTTCATTCTAAATTAGTTCGCTAATAATTTCATTGCAAAGTTAATATGAGTATACCATTATTACAATATGCTCATGGCGCAACTATGTTTATCGACAACTATTCTCTAAGACAACCTCCTTAGTAAACAAGTTTTAAATACACAAACTCTATACACGTCGATTATCTTAGCCATCCGCCCCTAATCACGATCAACAAGCAGATGGCTTTTTTGATAAAGTGAAACAAACAAACCTGACGATCACTAAAAAATTCTGAAGGAATCGCACCTATATACAGTAGACAATGAATGAAGACATCATTGCCATCACCTTTGGTGGCACTTGGAAAAACAACCGCATTCTCCTCCGCTTCGCAATATACTTATTCTTCATTAAATTCTTTGTCCGTCTGAACAGAGTATGATAATTGCTATATGGCTTTAAACACTGAATTACCAGGAAATATTTATTCTTGTTACTAATCTGAAACTTATTTCACTAATGTACCATCTTCAATGAAATAGCAGTTCAGTGGTTATAGACACAACGAAATATATGGATAGTACTCTTTACCAAAATTGCCTACGTTTCTGTAAAACTAAATTTAATCGTCAGAATGAACAAAGAGTTAGAGATAGCCGAGCAGCCGCATCCAAAGTCAACTATAAAATTTGGCGGAGTTTTCCCCAACTCATTGTTTTTCGTAATGAAGGAGAACGTAGTTTGGCAAAACGTTTGCAGTTTTGGTAGAGTACCATTCATCTGTTTCGTTGTCTAGAACTATTTTATCGCTAGTTTATTTTTATCAGTCTGTCAAGATGGATTCAGCTTGAGCTTGGAGTGATACATCAGGTCAGGAACCTGCGAATTTACTTCCTGCACACATTATGGTAGCAGTTTATGACATTCAATGTACTGTACTTCAAAATCACTAAAACAGAATACTTAAAATATGGATTTTCTTTGCATTCTTTTGTGCATGTGTAATAACGAATGGTCACCTTGCTTTTCAATAAAAGTCACCTAAAAGGATAAACTTGACTAACGTAGCACTGTTATTTTCTCGATGACAAACATCAGCCTGCTCATAGAATCAAGTTGCATCATAATAGATCAATTTTTACGCTGAGCTGTTCTAGTGATTTTGCGCATTAGTAGAATCAACAAACTGCTGGCCAAATGGCATTAAAGATACCAAGTGCAAACATGCAAATGACGTCACTCTGGAAAACCATTTCTGTGCACCCACCCAAGAAGCAAATCACACTATTCTACGATGCATATGCACGGTTATATTTATGATGTTTTCTATCGAGAGTTTCTGGGTCAGGAGCATTTAATTGTGTACAGCGTTGTCGTGTAATAAGACAAAAATTTTCTTACCATTTCAATTGTTTTACTACTTGCTTTTTTACAGTGGCCAACTATTTCGAAAACTATATTTCCCAGGCAACTAAACTTCTGCTTCATGCAGCCATCCAGCCACTGTTACATTTAGAGTGCATGCCGTATTAAACTTTATCCAAATGAAAACAAAATAACACCTCCAATATAGAATCTGTCAAGGTAGGGTGCAATAGAGTGGCTGGCAAAGTGAGAAAGAGATTTTTCTTTCTTTCCACTCTATATTTTCACCGTTTCAATCTCTATCATTATTTTTGTGATATACTTAGCGGCGCTATCGAAAGCTCTCCCAGGATATCGGCTTTATATTTTGCCACTCGTTCGCCTACGGATCATGTCAATGTTCTTTAGTTGAATATACTTTTGTATAACCCAAGTTTGAGCCGCATTCCTGCGTCCCATGCAGTGCAGGCGCTAAATGTCATTAAACTATGACCTGCTTAAATTGTTCCCCTGGGCTTCTAGAAGCAAGAGGCGGTGCAACAGAGCTGTCGGTTATACTGAAAAATGGATTTTTCTTTCTTTACACTGTGTATTTTCGCCGTTTCAATCCGCGGCCATTATTTTTGTGATATATTATGCGAAGACATCAAAAGCTCCTCCAGAACATCGGGTTATATATTCTCAAGGCAGAGTTTGATTCCAATAAACGAATATACAACGTACATAAACTCTACTTCGACAGTGTTTCAGACACCAATCAAATCTTCAAGAGATGTACCTTCGCAACGTCAAACCGATTCTTCTATACAGCGAATGGACAAATGCGCATGAACCTAACTTACTTCTCAACATATGCAGGCCTGTCAAAGTCGAGCCATTCCGTCGATAACAACGCGCGGCGACAATTTCACAGTAAATACGTGCTCCCATCCGGTTCGCCTGACTCATGGCTTTTAATGAATGGCAAAACGTGGCGAGCTCAAAAATGCTACGCGCTCGCATGCAGTAATACCATGACCGATTCATGTCACTCAACTGAAAACAAGATGCATCGTCAATTCCACCACTATTGTATGCACTCATGCGGTGTATGATTACCAGGTGTTATCGCCAGAGTAGGGCACTTATTGCTTGCAGGGTTCATTTCATTTAAACCCGTACTTGCTTGATATGAACATGTAAATCAGTTTTTTTCAGATTCGGTGTTAATATGCGTGCACAGATAAAAAATGCCTTAGGCACCCCCGTTCTACAACCAACTTTTGAGGCAAATAAACACCGTCCAATAAGGGGAGGGGGAGCAACGGCATAATGGATCAGTAGCTTGCTTCTCATTTTAAATGTTCCGGGTTCAAATACAACGTACAACGGGAATTTTCTCTCATTTACTAAGGAAGAATTCACTCCCATTGTGCTTATTCGGCAGCGAGTCATTAACCTGTGAGTAATACACAGTTCATTGTTTTGGTGTGATCATGCCAGGCTGTGCGAGAAATACGCCATGTCGTCAGTTTCGCGCACGTTCCTGCTGCAATTCGCATTAACCAACCTGAGAGCAGACTAAGAATCAATACATGATTTAAATTAAATTTAAATCACAGAG